ACCAACACAACCAAATTGGACTAATAAATTTGCAAGTAATTATTTTGTAGTTCAATAGGGTGCAAGACGTGACTTGAACGAAGGCAACATGATGATCCCACAATCAACACTATAAGCAAGACCCTAGAAGCACAAGAGAAGACCCAAGATATCAAGTAAAGTCCATACACAAAGATAGGAACCAAACCGGACGCAAGATCGCGAACAAACGAGCTTCACAGAGGTGAGCGGGCACGGTCCTTATAGCGACCGGATGCGTCCGATCAAGATGCTCAGCAACGGCAGGCGTTAGCAGCAGCGACCGGACGCTGAGGATTCAAGTGACCGGACGCGATGATGACACTGTTCACTGGTGCAACAATAGCTCAGCACTGACTGGACGCTGGAGGGTGATCAACCGGACGTAGGAACTGCAACGTCCGATCGAGTCCAGAGAGGTTCCAGAGTGGCGCCAGCGCGACCGAACGCGTTCGATCGACAGTGACCGGACTCAGCGCCGAGTCCGATCCACGAGCTAGCTTCAACAGTCGGGACGACCGGACGCGTCTGGTTAGGACGACAGTAGCGTCCGATCGGTAGTAGAAAGGTGGGTTTCGTCCCAACGGCTACTTTCTTAGTGGGGCTTATAAAGAGACCCCCAACCGGGCATTTGAGTTGAGTGGATCTGAGAAAACATACCAAGTGTGTTAATACACCATTTTAGTGATCTCCACTTGCATAGTGCTTAGTGACTCATTAGGTGATTAGCGTAGGTGCTTTGTGAAGTGCTTAGGTTGATTAGACCACCGTTTATGCGCTTGCTCTAGGTTTAGGCCTAGTGTTTAGTGAGGTTTGCATATCTATTACCACTCGATGCTTGCGTGCACCATTGTTGTACATCGGAGGGGCTTGTAGTCTTGCGAGATCATACCAACCACGTTTGTGGTGTGGCCACCACCGTGTACCGAAGGGAACATGGCCCGTGGCGGTTCGGCCGGAAGCTTGATAGTGAAGACAACGAGGAGCGGTCTGGGAGAGGCTTGCCGGAAGGCACACCGGAGACCCACTTGTGCGTGGGGAAGGCCCGGGGCTATCCACGGAGTTACCTGATCGGGAGCTTGGACCTTGCGAGGGATTCCTTGTGAGGGGCTCCAACGAGGACTAGGGGGAAGTTTGCGCGCTTCTCTATACCTCGGTAAAAAACCTGAGTCATCGATGGGAGTTTGCATATCTCTACCTTACTCTTTAGCTTCCGCATTTACATTGTTTGCATAATTCCTTTTGCGGTAGAGATAGCAACACACTAGCAAAACCATAGTTGCACATTTAGATAGTTTATCTTTTGTATAGGTTTTGCTAAGAATAGAAAAAGAGGCCATAGTTTAGAGTTAGACTTTTAAGTTGCCTAATTCACCCTCTCCTCCTAGGCGTGACTATCCCTTTCAGCCAAGATGGAAGGGCCTCGCTTATCGGCCTGTTCGCTAGTTGGTTTCTGGGCTGATAAGCCTGGCTGGTGCTGGTTTGTTGTGAGAGGAAAACACTGTTGACTGGCTGATAAGCCCTGGCTGAAACAAACAAGCGAACGGACTGTATAGCGTAGGTTAAGGAGGGACCATGAACCTTCCATGGTGGACATCTCCGACGAGGAATGATCTGGATGGAGCTTGACGCCAGAGTGTAGAAAATAGGCTCAATGGAGACTCGTGGTGGCCGATGACGAGCTGCAAAGGCAGCGGCGGATCTAGAAAAAAGTTTAGGGGGCTGAACAAAACTGCGACAGCAACATACCTCCGACTGCTACTCGATCTTAAGTCTTAGCCCCACCTACACAATAGAACTTTGCCTAAAAATTCATGGAGGCTCCAGGGGCGCTCTAGGGCTCCGGTATCGGTAGGGGGGGCTAGAGCCCCCCTGTCCCACCGTTGAATCCGCCGCTGTGCAAAGGTGACGATGACGAACTACTCGATGATGATGCAGGTCTTGAAAAGCTAGACGGAGCATAGCTGAAGGACGACGGACGGCGACGTAGAACCGCGGCAGGGCAAAAAGCCGAAGTCGAGCATCACCGCAGCAGAGCGGCACAGGCTAGACCGTCGATGAGACTTCCTCCCTTCACCTCGAAGCACACCCCCGGCAAGAGGGCCATGACCAGATCTGAAATTGGGGCAAGCGAAGCCGGCCGGAGGAGAAGTGGAAGGATTATTTTATTTCGTACCTGGGGCTTGCTGTTACCGTGAGCTACAAATTCGGCGGCAGGAGCACCATCGGGAGGTGATGATGCCGGCCACCAAAATCCAAGTGACGGCAGCGGCAACCTCGGTATGGCTTCGGGTAGGAAGCATCCGGAAAACACTCGATGCAAACATAACCTAGGAGAAACTAGTATGCACACAGGAAACCGGAAGTTGGGGCCGGCCCACCTCCCTCGAGCTGCCAGCGAAGCCGGAGGCGAAGAGGAAGGGGGCCGGAGGGGACAAGCTAGAAGAGGATCAGAGGAGGAGAAAAACCGGCATACGCCTACTACTCACTACGGAGACTCTATTCCTATCGCATCTTTGTAGGGATCAACGATTGGTGCGTGTAAGTGGCTCCGTAGATATGACATTCATGCATTCAAATTTTGTTCTAAATTATAAAGGATTCTAGATAAAGTAATTATCTATTTTTGTTAAAAGGCAACATTCATATACATACCTACCATTAATTAATGTTTATAACCAACACAAATGGTAACCATAGTATCTCCCTACCCATTTGATTTATACCATAATTTTGTCCTAGAATTTCTAAAAATATCTAATATTTTAATATGGGTTATTAGACATTTTATTACTACGCTTTAGAGCCTGGATTCTCGTATGGCCACAAGTTTCTGCACCATGTAATTTAATTTGGTTGATTATATAACCCAAATTATATGGATTCTAGGTGAAGTAACTCTCCATTTTTGTTTAAAAGAAAGTATTGAAATTAGGACACGGCATTCTATTTTAATCATCAGTTCGGTTTGGTTTCTTCGATTTCCACAAACTTCGGTTTCTAGAATCTCGTAGCTGATCGGTTTGCCAAACCAACAAGTCGCACGCGTCGCACGCCCCACCCGCTTGCGTTGGCACGTCCGCGCCACCGAGAAAGCCACGGCACCCTGCTCGAGTGTCGCTCCCACTGGCCGTCGGTGAGGAGCGGCCCTGTAACCCCTCCTGCACGAGCATGCCTGCACCACAAAGGATCCGCATATTCGTCGTGCATGGTCAGAGGACCGAGAGCAGCAAGGAAATGAGGAGGCGAGGGCAGAGGCATAGAGCCGCGAAAGGGATAAGGTTAGGGTCGGTTTTTTATTCCAAGTGCAACCTGGGGATAGGATCAGTTACTCGGATAATTGGATCGGTTGAGGTTTGAAACCGAAACCGAAACCGAACCTGATAACAGTAGTTCTCATATACTAAAACCGAAATCAAACAAAACAAACGAAAAACCAACATTTTGGCCCAGTTCGGTGTCAGTTTGGCTCAATTTTAGTTTCCGGTCTAAAAGTGCCCATCCTTAATTAATGTTTATAACCAACTCAAATATAGTAATCCCAATATCTTCCTATAACAAGAGCTATTTAGTTTGTACCATAATTTGTTCTAAAATTTCTAAGATCAGCAGTGCTAGCGGTCGGATGTCCGCACGGACGCCCGCGCTGCACTCCGTTTCTTGCTCTCGGGCCAGCACGCCCCTACCCGAGCCTACACTTCACGTGCCCACGCGGGGCCCGCGTTGCCAGACCGCGCAGGGACCGTTCGTGCCCCCTCCACTTCTCACCACATTGCAACATATGCAACACCCAATCTACTTTTGCAACATCTAGATAAAACACTTGCAAAACAGCTGAAATACTTGCAACATACGTCTAAAACAGTTACAAACACCATAAAAAACTTGAAAACACATGTGTAGTCATTGTAAACATTATGATGAAATACCAACATACATATGAAAAACACTTGAAACACTTGAATATATATATGCAACATCACGATCTAGTTTTGCAATATCCAAATAAAATGCTTGCAACATTGTTTGAAACAGATGAAACATTAGAAACATACACTTGAAACATACTTATATAGCCCATTGCAACATAACATCTCGATCTACTTTTGCAACATCGATATAAAACACCTGCAACATACCTCTGAAACATCTGAAACACTTGAAACATATGCTTGCAACATGCGCTTTCAGCGCAGTGTCACCTTGCCGCTTGGACAAATAGAGGCTCGTCGTTGCGGAGCTCAACGCCGGTGTAAAGGTCGGCTGCGGTGCATGGAGCTCGCCACGGCGCGGAGCTCACCGGTGTGACAGCGGCATGGGAAACTCGATGGCGTGGTGGCGTCACACGAAGCTTCGCCCCTCGCCGACTTGCTGGAGCATCCAGTAAGGTAGCGCCGGCGCAACGCCGGAGACGAGGAGCCGCGCGGTGTCGTACCCGAGGAGGCACGCGCCGGCGCTGATGAGGAGGAGCAGCGTGGGGTGGAGCCGGTTGCAGAGCACCCCTAGGAGCAGGCCGAGGTTCTCACCAACGTCGCAGGCGACCTAGAGCAGCGTGAGGCAGCTCTGGTCAACATCGAGTGAGACCTTGAGCGCGTACGAGTAGAGCACGAACGTGGAGCTGGCGCCGACCATGACCTGCACCTATGCGGCCGCCCCCAGCCCCAGCCACGGCGGCTAGCTCCCCGCCTTCATGGATGCCGGCCCCCTCATCTCGCTCGCCGAGGGGAGCACCAGAGCAGCGTGCATGATGTACAGTTCAGAGGTATGTGCATTTGCCACGAGTGGGTTATTTTGGGCCAGTCCATAGGCCCAGCAAGAAAACGTCCGGGTGGACGGACGCCTTAACCAAAGTATAAGATACATTCCATTGCGATAGTGGCAGATGAAGTGCCTGACGGATGCAGTTCAATTTGGTTGATCGTATAACATGCTGAGCAAACACAAAGATAAAAGAATGGCTACGCGTTGAATTGGGCCTGTTTCTAGTTTCTATAATGCAGCAACATGTGGAGCAGCATGTCGTTGCAGGCGTCCATGGCGCCGGGCAGGCACCAGTGCAAACAGTCGCGCAACACGTTGAACCGGTCGGGCTGCCACGGACGATACTTGCTCGGGTGCGCGTCCGGCCGCAGCGCCATTGCCTCCGTCGCATCGAGCAGCAGCATCCTGGTCCCTTCGCTCGCCCTCCTCGCCGCCCCAAACTCCTCCGCCTGTATCGCGTACATGTCCTTTTCCACCGCTTTCATCTCCCACACGCCGCGCCGGAGCGACCGCGCCAGCGCGCAGTCGCCGTCCTCGTTCCACGTCCCGTTCTCGTAGTGCGACGGCGAGAGCGTGCGCACGACCACCGTCCTCCTGGACCTGGAGCGCCGCCGCCCAGCGCCGGGCGGCGCGTCCGCGGCTGCGCGGAGCGCGGTCTGGAACGCCATCCGCAGAGAGTACCGGAGCGTGAGGTCGGTGACGTTGGCTGCGAGGCAGCTGTTGCACCCGACGACGCGACCGTTCACGTGGAACAAAGACGGGCGAAAGAACCAGCTCCCCGCCGAGACTACCACGTAGTCGAACTCGCCGGCGCGCGCCGCCCACCCGGCGTCCGGCTCGTCGAGGTGGAGGCTCCACAGCCCCGCCCCGCTCCGCGTCGGGCCGTCCGGGTCCGTCTCGACGGCGCGCACGAGGAACGGCGACCAGAACAACGAGACGACGAACCCATTGCGCTCGAAGCGGAACACGTTGGTCCTCGGCGCGGCCGGCAGCTCGGTGCGCGCCAGGAGGCATACCAGCGAGTGCATCTAGTTCCTGGAAAGCGAGTCGCCGACAAACGCCATGGACTTGCCCCTCATCGCGCGGAGGAACCGGGCAGCGTCGAAGCGGGGCAGCTCGCACCCCGTGGGACGCCACCGCCACCGGATGAAGCCGAGGTCCGGCCTGCCGTACCGCATGCAGTCGTAGTTGCCGTGGATCACGGGGCACGTCTCCGTGGTGTAGCGCGGTGCGCACGGGTCCGGCACCCACTCGCCCTTGAAGATGTTGCATGATGACAGGTTGCCACCGCCGTGGCCATCGGTCAGCAACGGCGGCAGCAGCGGCTCGCGGCCAGGCAGGACCACGAACGCAAGGATCACAAGGCACGTCACAAGCAGGAGGGCGGCGGGAATGGCACAGTGTGTGGTGTATGGAAGCTTAATCTCATGAAACTTCTTCATTGTGGTAACAAAACATGGCAGAGTGAAACAAGTCACACACAGATCAGCATATATTGTTCATGGATGGTATAGGTAGGTGTGTATATATAGATTTTTTTTTCGCCTACCATTTCTTGAACGTTCATGAGGTGATTTTCTGATGGGGATTTGGAGGAATCTGTTAATGCAACATCAGTCCGAGCGTTTACGCAACTCATGCGGTCATGCCGAAAATGGTACTAGTGACAAATTTACATTCCACAGTGTTACGTAATTAGCAGTGGCGAACACTTGTAATGGTGGATTCCACGCGTGCACCAGCTGTTAGTAGTTCTTAGGGCCTCCTGGATTGTGAAAAGAACGGTGTAAAGCAACGAGCAAAAATGGAAAGGTCTCGGTGCTAAACAGGTGGGGTTTTTCCAGGCCATGGGGCACTGGCTACCTGTAAATATGCCTAGCGGTAGCTCTCCTTTGGCTCCCATTATCTTTGACCGGTCTGTTAAGATCATCGGACTTGAGTTCACCAATCGTTCCAAATGGTGTCATCCGCAACTCTTCGTTCTGATCCGTCGCCAGTGGCGAACCTAGAAATTATTTAAGACTAGAGCTACTTAATTCCCAGAAGCCAAAACTATCCCTTAATGTTACACATTGAGGAGTAGCTAAAATAAAGGAAAATTTCTATTGGCACGACATTGCACTACATGTTAACAAATGTTTCTACTTTTAATTTTTTATTTTAATTGAATAGATACTACAACTATAAGTCTAAAAATGTTTGGAATTGAAAATTGGATTAGAGAAATACTTCAAATTGTAGGCCACAAGTTGTGGAGAAGATGAACGCAAGTGTCGTTGATGCCAAATCGCCAAAGGGGAGATGTGGCATGCGGAGCTATGGCATGTGAGTGTGTCCAAGGGCCACGAGGCACCTTAGGACCGAAACCATAGTTATTAGGACTTGTCGGGGTTACGATCCCCGAGCGTCTCAAGGCATCGATTAGTTAGCAGGTTGAGCGACAACTGAGGCCTAGCTAAGTCAAGCAGAACAGGCCTAATGCCAAGGCCAGAGTTGGCCGTGACCCCTCCTTCTGAATTAGCTGCATGACGCGCAAGAGACTCACAACCTCTCCGCCATCCTGACCCCTAGGAGGAACGGGGAGAGGTCAAGCCCAGCCAAACGTGCCCGCTCTGACAAGAGTAAGCACGTCGCACTGACCCCGCAAGGACCGAGGAGACAGCGGTCACCTCGGTCCGGTCAGACGCTATCCCTGCGCCACGCAGCACGGACAAGACAACACCGCACGGCGGTAGCTATCAGTACGGCGACCCACCGTCCAAATACGGACCAACAAGACGCATATACGATTCTACCCACCATGGGATAGGATCCATGACGGAGGCCATGACTTAGAGGCCATCCAGACCGACGAGAGCCATGACCCCAACGATCGGGATCGTGGCCCTCAGCTCCTCAAGCCAACAGGGCGACCGACGACCCGGGGGCGGCTATCAACTCCTGTACGACACATCTGGAAACTAGGAGGCGATGACGAAGACCACAGCGGAGACCACGTCGCACAGGACGGCTGGCAAACCACCATCGTGCCTACAGTGTCGCCACGACCGGTACAATAGCACCACATCACACCATGCCGCGATGTGGCCACAAGACAGTGATGACAACCATGCCTAGACGTGCACCACAAGACGACGTAGCTTACAAGCCAAGTCAGCTAGGTCCTCCCTTAGGCTCACGACCCTTCGATCGGGAGAATCTTCTTCTTTGTACACGCCCTGGCCCCGAACTCTATATAAGGGCAGCCAGGGCACCCATCTTGGGGATCCGACTCTCATTCATTCATTCTTACACCATAGAAGGGCTCCTGAAGCTTCCCTTCGGGTAGCCCATCTCCTAGCTCTAGTTCTCCTACCTCTTTCACCATTCTTGCACCCTCCTCCATTGTAAGAACTTCAGAGCATTCAAGCGAGGAACACGCACTCGATCATCTCTGAGACTGGACGTAGGGCTTCGGCCTAAACCAGTATAAATCCTTGTGTCTTTTGGATGCTACAATCGTCTTCCTAGAGCAGCATGGCAATCGTATAAATTTACTAATCCAGTTTATAAAACACCGACAGTTGGCGCGCCAGGTAGGGGACAGTCACACACTCTCGTTTGTTGAGAAGGAAGCGATGGCTACTCACGCCGTCGATGGACTTGCTCATGGAATGGCCCACGGCGGCCATGTCCACCACGAAAACCACGAGTTCATCGGCGCCGAAGGGCCAGCGCCCGCGTCCGCCTTCCACCGTAGCCTAGACCTCTGTTCTGGAGTTCTGGATCCTACGGTCTACGGCGGACACACTCTGAGAACCACTCTTAGCGGCGGCATCCCAGAGTTCACCTACATAGGGGGCAAATACCCTCTCTCGTCACCGGTCGAGGCCAAGTCTTCCACCCAGGAAGCCAGAGGCCCATGGCTCACGGCGAGCTCACCCAGGAATGGCCTCAATTGGCCACATCCTTTTGGGGAACCACGAGGTTATCCACACCAATGGGTCAACACCAATCACCGGCTTCTACCCTATCTAGGCCAACCGCGTGGGAAGCCTCGATCTGGCAATAGAACCACGCCCTGAGCGGTGTCTCCACCACTAGCAGAGCAGAGCATGTCAGGGCGTGCACGAGCACTGAAATCACTCACCGCCACGCGGCGTCATCGTCAGTGATCAGGTGGCTGCCCAGTGCCACGCCACGCAAGGCCAAGCCTAGAACCAAGGTCCATCCCGCATGACGGACAACCTATCTGGCACGCCCTGATTAACTATCAGCTTCCACTCCGAGGCACGAGCATCCGAGGGAGTGGGCTCTCTGAGGACACCACGCACCGCACCAAGCAGACCAAACCGTATCGCCCTCAGAACCTGCTTCCACAGCGACAACTCGCGCCAGCTCTTCGTCGAGAGCAGTAACCACACCTAGAAGCGGAGACATGACGACCACGACGTCGTCACGCCATGAGGGCTCAAGCACCAGAAGGTACGAGCCATCCCAGCCAGAAACTATAGTAGGCCAGACACGAAGGAGTCACCCTAGGGGCTCACGAGCCCGTCGAGGACCTCGAGCCGGCAAGGATCGGCCCATGGCCGCCCAAGAGGTCGACTCCCGCTAGCTTTGACAGCTCCAAGTGCTAAAGAAGCACCCTCACCAGCTCGCGGCCTAGGGACCACAACAACTCCGCCACGAGCAAGCGCTCGGGGGCTCGCCGTGCCTCGAGCAACAACAGCCAGTTTCACGATAGCTTCCGGTACATCGATCAGTCATGTCAACCTTGACCCTAGCCTCTCTACCTAAGCACGTCCATATACATGTGTAAGCTCGCCCATAGTCTAGAAACCCAGAGTTAGCTTGTAGAGTAGGACAAAGAGCATGATACCCACATATTTCATCTAAGTGTTGCTCGACTCCCGAGTGACTCGATCCGATTTGCACCAGCAGTCGAACATGACTCACTAGCAAGGGCTACACATATAGGCATGCCCAGATGCATCCTGAGGCATAGCATAGTTTGTCATCATCCTAGAGACCCGTTTTGAGTTTTTCCGATTGTATCTCATGCCACGGCGAATCAATGACCCGCTCTTCAACTTCTTGTTCGCACTAAAGGTTGCTCTGACCAAGCCACGTGGACCAGCTCTAAGGCAAGGTGAAGCACCCACACACGAGTTTGGAAAGGAATAGGGCACTGTCTCACTCCAGGCAAAGAGAACGAAAGGAAGCAGAACACTCGTCCCTTACTCACTTTTCTTCTTGCATCGCATCGGATCTATAACCTCTCCCTAACGTCTTGCCACGTGGTCGGGTCGCGCATCTTTTAGCCCCACGAGCCAGCCCCCAGGCTCAAACAAACACCTACACACACAAGACTAAGGGAAACGACATACATTCCAAGCTCCAACTAGAATAAGATGGGAAAATGGCAAAATGGCAAATGAATGCGCCAATCACACGTCATATATACAAAGCATGAACATGTTCATCACAACAAGATCACCCATATAGCACAAAACATTTACACTAAAAACCATCATACACCGAAAGTCTAGAACAGGCGACAGATGCAGGCGGCTGACATCTTACCTGCAAGAACCTTTGCACCACGAGTGACGGCACTAGCAATGGCAAGGATATCGCTGTCAAACTTCCACGGTGCATATCCTCGCCCAATAGCATCAAAATTGATGCTGCCATAGTGCGAACTGACCGATGTCAAGGTGGCATGAACGCCGCAACGGATCCCCCTGGAAATCGGAGGATCCACTTCAAGGCGGGCCTCATCAAGGTGAAGCACCAGCTGGGTGTTCCCTCGGCCAGCGCAGCATGACATCATAGAGGGCTTGCCCGAAAGTGGTTAGCGCTGCCAGCTGGTTGTCCATCTCCAGCATCTTCTGGTTTGCAACCGCTTTCTCCTCTTGATCCGAGAGCGCCCTCGCGCGCAACCGTGAATAGAACAACTGGTTCATGACCAGGCATAGCAACAAGGCAAAAGCGCAATGTAGAGTTGAAGGGGACTCACCACCACAAGTACATCGTAGCTTCTGACACTCAGCTTCAAGACGTTGGTGCCCCTACTCGGCTTCGTTCCGAGCAGTGCTAGCCGAGGTGAGCTCTGTCTCTTGGATGGCCAACGCATCCTTGAGACTGGCCACCTAGGACGTCAAAGCCTTGATCTAGGACTGAGCCCGCGCCTTCCAACGGAGCAGTTCCTTCACCCTTTGGGAATCCTCTAGCTCCCCATGCAAGCATTGCACTTTGGCCTCCACTGTATCTAGGCGACCACGGTCGGTGGCACCCCCCGCCTACGCTTGATAGGCCAAGCGCAAGAACCGTGACTTCTCCATCGAAATCTTTGCCAACCTCTGCAAGAAAGAAGAAAGATCAGACAATGGTAGCCACGACGGTGGTCGTGGCAGTGGCAATGTTACCGACCAGCTCCGCCCGCTCCACCTACCTGGCA